CTCTCTCTCTCTCTCTCTCTCTCTCTCGCTTCGTAGACCTTACGCCTTTAACTGTTCCGTTCGTCCTCTCTCTCTCTCTCTCTCACTCTCTCGCTTCGAGACCTTACGCCTTTACCTGTCCAGTTGCCGGTCTTTTGAAAACCCTAAACCCGTCCCCCTCCCCTCTCTCTCTTGCAGGTTCTTGGGTTCAGGCTAGGTAGCTCTGTATCACTTCTTCCTCGTGTCTCCTTTCTCTATCTAGAAAACTCCCCTCTTCCCCTCGTTTCATTACTCGAGACATTTCTCTCTCCCTAACTTATTCGGTGCGGCTGTGGCCAAAGGCACGAGAAACAAAAGATCTTTCGTTGCTTCATGTAGTACGTAAATCTCAGCCCTGTATAAACCCGAGTCTCAGGATTTGTTTCTCTTTTTTTCTCTCTGTTCGATATTCTTTATAGATTTGTTTCCTTCTCAGTATAGAGTTTTGGCTTAATTTTGGATGCACATTATGTCATAGATTAAGTTGTCGTAAATTTTTTCTTAATTTTGGGCGCATTTTGCGTCATAGGAAAGTCTTGATTCGATAATTTAATGGGTGGTAATCGATCATGTTGAAAGAACAACAAATTGGGCTTTTAGAGAAAGAAGTTGTACAGCGCCATGGCCAAACTATCTGAAATCTTCAGCAACTTTGCTAAAACATCCATCAAAAAGCCACAAACCCTGATTCTATCAGCCTCCAAGACAAAACCCATTTCTAATCATCAAAAACAAAGAAAACCCACTTCTCGGATTAATGAGCATGTATCGAATTATCGAAATGAAGGAAAACCCATTTATGAGATTCACGAACCTATTCATAATTATGAGAAAGAAAGAAAACCCATTTCTCAGATTCATGAACCACGGGCCTCTTGCTCGCTCATCTACCGGTTGGTTGAGAAAAGGAACTTCTCTCCTGCCATGGCTTCTCTCAAATCTCTTGCTCTCAGGTACCCTCTTTATGTTTTAATGGACTGTATAGTCGAGGAATCCTCCAACAAACATCCAGAGCTTGCAGGCAAGGTTATTGATATGCTGTTCAGAACCTATTCCAATGAAAACATGATCAAAGAAGCCCGTGAAACCTTTGACTACATGAATAAGTATGGCTACAATCTTGATGGAAGGTCCTGTAATTCTTATCTATCAGCGCTTAGAAACTCTGGCGAATCTAGTTCTGCCGTAGAATTATTTCATCGAATGTTTGAATTGGGTATTGAGACTTCTGTTCACTCTCTTAGCATTGTTGTAGATGGGTTTTGTCGAAGTGGTGATATTGAAAGTGCTAAAGCTTTCCTCTTAGAATCCAGTCACAAAGGAATAAAACCCAACATTTACACATATAATTCTTTTATTCAAGCTCATGTCAAGAATGGGGATTTCGAGGGGGCATACACAATTCTTCAGTCCTTAGAACAAGAAGGTATTTCTCCAAATGTCACAACATACACTGCAATTATTAATGGTTACTGTAAGTTTGGCCAGCTGGAAGAAGCTGAGAGGGTCTTTAGAGCGATGAAGGAAGCAGGCTTGGTGGGTGATCTTCATGCCTATACATCGCTTATAAGTGGGAATTGCAATGTTGGGAATATAAAGCGTGCTCTCTCTCTGCATGATGAGCTTATGGAAATAGGTCTGTGCCCCAATGTCTATACATATGGGGCATTGATCAGTGGCCTTTGCAAGCTTGGCCAAATGGAGGCAGCTAACATGATCGTCACAGAGATGCAAAGCAAAGGCATTGATCTAAATGAGGTTATTTTCAATACCATGATGTGTGGTTATTGCAAGAAGGGTATGTTGGATGAAGCTCTCGAATTACAAAAAGTCATGGAGAGAAAGGGTCTTGTTCTTGATGCATTTTCATTCAATACAATTATCAGTGGGCTATGCAAATTGAATAGGTTCATTGAAGCCAAGAGGCTGTTTGGCTCCATGATAAATATGGGCATCTCGCCAAATATAGTGAATTTCACCACACTAATAGATATACACTGTAAGTGTAGGGAAATGGACGAAGCCAAGAGGGTATTTATGGAGATGGAAGTGAAGGGCCTTAAACCAAATACCTTTACTTACAATGTGATGATAGATGGGTATAGCAAAAAGGGTAATTTGGTGGCTGCTAATAAGTTGAGAGAAGAGATGGAGGAGAGAGAAATAACAGCAGATGTGTATACATACACGTCTTTGATACATGGGCACTGTGTGCATCGGAAGCTCGAAAGAGCCCTCAAATTGTTCAATGAAATGAAAGGGAAAGGCTTGCTACCAAATATTGTTACTTATACTGCTATTATCTCTGGTCTATCTAGAGAAGAGAGATCAGATGAGGCTTTTGAGTTGTATGATGAAATGTTAAAGGCAGGTCTTATCCCAGATGATGCCTTATATGCATCACTAGTTGGTAGCCTTCACTCATCCAAGTTATATGGTTAGTTGGGGGAAATATTTTTTTGTCTAACCAAGTGAAAGCTGATTTGAATTATTGAAAATTTGTGGCTAATGATTGTATTCTCGAGGGTTCTGGCTCATGGCTTAGTACTTGGGGCACAAGAGCCTCGATCCCAAGGTTTTAGGCTTGCTCACTTGAAAACAAGGATGTCTGTTCTGTTCTTCTGATGACCAGGTCCATTTTGATTGGGGATTGTGGACTGTGAACTGGTTCATTATGATGTGCCCCAGTGGACTGATACAGGCAGACATATGTATACACGTGCATACACACATAAGTACATAGAAACATACATCATACAGACAAGTGTCTGCACGCGCACATGTGCACATGTGCTTGTGCATGAACTCAAAACCTTGGGAACGAGAAGATATCCATACTACTGGGCACTAGCATGAGAAATGGAATACATTTGAGTGTTAACAGTGGATATAACCTTGTGAAAAAGAACATACATTGACCTTGAACTAAAGCTCAACCTATGGTGTTGGCTATCTAAATTTTTTTGATATGGTTCTTATGTTATATGTAATTTCTTCGAATCTTTTCGTGGGATTCATGAAGAAAAAACTGTTCTTTCTTTTCAATAAACTTGAAACAAAATGATTACTCGAGGATGATGGGGAATGAGAAGCTGCAGAGGTGGGAATGGAAGAATTTGAGAAGAGGCTTATTGGAGGCTCTCATGAAGGAATTGCCCGTGTAGCTGAGAAGTAGATTTCTACATCATGCAATCAGAAATGTATATATCAGAGTCTTAATGTAGTGATAGCAAGATGTGGAAGGTAAATGAAGTTCTTTCAGTTGTCTTTGGGCAATCTTTTGATGGCCATTGAGGATTGCTGCCGAGAAGGCATTTCTTATTCGCTGTTCACTGCATGCAAAGCTTTGTGTGGTTTGATTCTAGTCTTCTGTCATTATTCCAAATCCCAACATATAGTGAACGGTTAGGTGGAGAGAAGCCACTAGTTCCTATTAAGTGCACAAAATTATTTATACTTGCCATACCATCTGATAAAGAAAATGGGAAGATGAAGAAATCTCTCTCTCTCTTGCGTGGACACACACTGGAATTTTCTTAACATTGACATCTAACTACATGCGATCAACCTTCAAGGAGTACATGCATCATTAATATTCTTTACTTTTTTTAAGGAAATTGATAATTTATATGTTAATAGGGAAGCACATACATTTGCTGGGTACAAGAACATCATAATTATGTTCAGATACAGGTAAAATTGGGGACAACAATGTTTAAAGAAATGTACAAGGAAAAGAAGAAAAGAAAGTGAGGGCATACCCTTTTAAAAATGGAACTCTGGATTACAGAGGGCTTCATCCCTGGCTAAGGTGTCTGCTGCCTGACTGGACTCCCTCCAAGTATGCGAGAATGATGGACCCACTAATCTCTGAAATTTGGTCAAACATCTGTTCTAGTCTCCAAGGGCACACAAAAACTTTCTTTGACCAATTGATAAAGTTCTTGTAATCCCCTTCAACGATCATGGTGGATCCCCAGCCACTGTCAAAGAGTTTCAAGCCTTCTAGGAGAGCTCTTGTGTTGGCTTCGATTGATGAAGTAATACCCATTGTGCTCTTACAGGTCGGTAGCATCATGGCAGAGTCGTCCCTAAAGATTTGTCCAAAATCAACTGCTCCTGGGTTGCCCAGAGAGTGACTATTAGCTGAGTCTAATGGTGCAGGGGCCAGGAGCCAGAAACATGCAACCTTAAAATGGTATCTACGTATAGCCTTAGAGATGCGAGTGCCAATTTAGGGTGAAATCCAATCAAAAGGGAGGCTTGAATTATTTCCAAGATGTCCAAGAGGTTAGGAGGGCCTCAATATTGTCTTTCATGCTGGCTGAGTGAGATTCCTGAACTTCAAAATTTACCAGTTGCGCTCCATCTATATGACCCATTCGACTGCAGAAATGGAAGAGTGTCATGGGAACAACCATGAGGTGAATAAAGGGTTGGACAAACAGACTTGAAATAGTTGTTGGATTGACTCTGGGAGAACCCTACATGCATCAAACAGGTCTAGAACGAAAGCTCATGCCAGGATAGCTATAGGGCAATGTGTGAGCAGGTGATTAACTATCTCCATACTGGTTTTACACATCACCCACCTGTTTGGGAGGCTTACACCCCTAGGCTGTGATTTGCAATAAAGCACTTACAATTGACAATATGCAGCCTAGGGGTGTAAGCACTTACAGTCGACAATATACAGCCTAGGGGTGTAAGCCTCCCAAATAGGTGTGTGATGTGTAAAACCAGCATGGAGACAGTTAATCACCTGTTCACGCGTTGCCCTATATCTATCCTGGTGTGAGCTTTCATGCTAGACTTGTTTGATGCATGTAAGGTTCTCCTAGAGTCAATCCAGCACCTATTTCAAGTCCGTTTGTCCATCCCTTTATTCACCTCAGGGCTGTTCCCATGACACTCTTCCATTTTTGCAGCCCAGTGGGTCATATGGATGGAGCATATTACAACTAAATATTGACTTTGTCAAGTCATCCAAGAAAGGCTATTCATGACTATGTCAAAGTTGTTGTAATTATTGTATTTGAATTCCCTTCTTCTATGGGATTCTATGTACACCCTTGTCTATTTATACGCTTCTTCTCTGGATAGAAAATATACTCAATTCAGAGTTATCATTGTATCAGAGCAGGTTCTCTGAGACCTACTGCTCTCTCTAACATTGACGTTGAAACCAACCCCATGTTGATTACTCTCTACAACTACCAAGATAGCATCAATCTGATCCCCATTCCCCTCGTTCTTCTTCTCCCCTCACTGGAATAGATCCCTTATACCTCATGAGACCTCCTGCCTCTTGATCGTAGCCCATCATCAAACTTGATCGCTACACTCTGCCATCATATATGGGCTCTCTATAGAGAGAGAGTTGTCTTCTACTACTGCGACAGTGCAGACCCTCACCTCATCCCTGATCCATTGCCCAAACGTCAATGGAAAGTCTCAGATCCCACTGACCGTGGTCTCGGAGCTCTACCGCAAGCTCCAACAACTCGCAACCCATTGTGCCGTTGCATACATTCTAGCAAAAGGTCTATCTCCTTCTGGGTTGAGCCTCTGCCATTGGTATGGTTTTTGGGTCGTATCTAAAACCCATGCATCAGACAACAGCCGTCTGCCGTCATTCCCACTGACAGCCACATCGTACCGCTGAAATACAAGAACCATTGCGTGGCCATAACGTGGTCCCTGACTTGGCCCTTGAACCACCACCCTGTGCCACTGAGATTTGGCACTTGTGATATCGAGCACATAGAGATCAGTGGAATGCCCTGCTGGCTCTATCCCTCCCTGATTCCTAATCCTGTGCCATCTCAACCATCAGCACCAACTCCCTAATCTTGTGCCATCTCCGCCCCTTCCTCCTCCCTGCCATCCCCATTTTCACATCCACCATCAGCGGCAATCCAGCCCCCATCTCTGCCAGCCCTCTCTTAGCCGTCCACCCACCTGCAACCTACTACCCCCTTTGCTACCTCCCACTTTCTCTCTCTACAAACAAAAAACCCAACAACAACTCTTTCTCTCCCTGTTCTTTGCTGCTCTCTTCCACCCACTGTTGTCACCCATTGTCAAAACTATTCGTTCTGACAATGGAGGTAAATAAGCCTTCCAACTAAACGTCAATAGGAGCCTGGATCTGGAAGGAGAATGCCATCATCGGAGTTAAGCTTCAGGTTTTGTTCCATGGGAAATGCAGTTGGTTTGGCTCCAAGAAGGCCGGATTCGGCTAGAATGTCAAGGATGTATTTTCTTTGAGATAAAAAGATGCCTTCCTTAGATCAGGTGACTTCTATGCCCAGAATAGAATCCCATAGAAGAAGGGAATTCAATAAAATAGTTACAACAACTTTGAGAAAGTCATGAATAGCCTTTCGCAGATGACTTGACAAAGTCAATATTTAGTTGTCACCACCTGTTACATCCAAGCACATCGAACTGGATTGTCATGTTGTTAGAGAGAAATTACAAGGAGGTATCATCCAAACTCGTTATCTCTGCACCAACAATCAACGCATGGACATTTTCACTAAACCTCTTGGCAAAGAGCAATATCTATATCTTTGGAGCAAGTTGGGTGTTTTCGACCCTCACACTCCAACTTGAGGGGGAGTATTACAACTAAATATTGACTTTGTCAAGTCATCCGAGAAAGGCTATCCATGACTTTGTCAAAGTTGTTGTAACTATTTTATTTGAATTCCCTTCTTCTTTGGGATTCTATGTACACCCTTGTCTATTTATACGCTTCTTCTCTGAATAGAAAATATACTCAATTCAGAGTTATCAGAGCATAACTAGTAAATTTTGAGGTTCAAGAATATCACTCAGGCAGTATGAAAGACAATATTAAGGCCCTCCTAACCTCTTGGACATCAAGTTGGAAATAATTCAAGCCTCCCTTTTGATCGGATTTCGCCCTAAATTGGCACTTGCATCTCTAAAGCTATACGTAGATACCATTTTAAGGTTGCATGTTTCTGGCTCCTGGCCCCTGCACCATTAGACTCAGCTAATAGTCACTCTCTAGGCAACCCAGGAGCAGCTGATTTTGGACAAATTTTTAGGGACGACTCTGCCACGATGCTCTTTAGGGACGACTCTGCCACAAATATAAAAGCCAATAGAATTCCTTGGAATTCTATTGGTTTTTATATTGGCAGACATGTATATTTGTGAAAGATTTAGTGATTAATTAGTTTGTCATTTTCTTTCCATTTTACTCAAAAACTGATTTTGATATATGAGCTGAACCTAGTCTCTAGTTTCATCATATCCTTCTCTTTTATGAAAAGAAATTGCAGCTTTGTGGTTGGTTTTGACATTTGAGTCTATTGAGGAACAATAGTGAACTAATTAAAGTGTCACAATTTTGTATGACATGATTATTATCTTGGCTTCAATAGGAGTAAGTAAAACATTTTGTTAAATGGGGTTTGTCTGAGGGCCATTTGTTTCATGCTATTACTTGGATTATGCATTCAAAGCCTTTTATTGCTTCAGATTAACTTCAGTTGCAGTGGTTTATGGCTATTGAGTCAAGATTTTCTCTGATTCTCAGTTTTAATTCTTAGATTTTCTCTTTCATTTGTTTTCAAATTTTGTCCATAAGTAATTTTCATTTCCAAGTCTCTAGTTTCATCATATCCTTCTCTTTTATGAAAAGAAATTGCAGCTTTGTGGTTGGTTTCGACATTTGAGTCTATTGAGGAACAATAGTGAACTAATTAAAGTGTTTCAATTTTGTATGACACGATTATTATCTTGGCTTCAATAGGAGTAAGTAAAACATTTTGTTAAATGGGGTTCGTCTCAGGGCCATTTGTTTCTTGCTATTGGTTGGATTATGCATTCAAAGCCTTTCATTGCTTCAGATTAACTTCAGTTGCAGTGGTTTATGGTACTGAGTTAAAATTTTCCCTAATTCTCCGTTTTAATTCTTTGATTTTCTCTTTCATTTGTTTTCAAATTTTGTCCATAAATAATTTTCATTTCCAAGGAATATTGGACAAGGAGAGCGATTATATCTTCATTGAAGTAATTCTATTGGTTTTTATATTGGCAGACATGTATATTTGTGAAAGATTTAGTGATTAATTAGTTTGTCATTTTGTTTCCATTTTACTCAAAAACTGATTTTGATAGTCTCTAGTTTCACTATATCCTTCTCTTTTATGAAAAGAATTGCAGCTTTGTGGTTGGTTTTGACATTTGAGTCTATTGAGAAACAGTAGTGACCTATTTAAAGTGTTCAATTCTGTATGACATGATTATTATCATGGCTTCAATATAGGAGTAAGTAAAACATT